TGATTGAGTGATTGATTGATTGATTGATTGATTGATTGATGAGAACAATACTCCAAACAAGGTCTGATCTGAGCTTTTCAAAGCATCAAAAGTTGCTGGGCTGTGTATAGTGTTCTGGTTCGGAACAGTAATCCAAGCTTTTAAGAAGCAGCCTTTGCGACATTGGCTACATTCAGTCTAATTCGAAATCACTTCTAGATCCTCATCAAGATATACAACGTCCTACTGCCGGTGAAGATATCCCTCCGTAGCCGACGTCTTGGAATTCAAATGGAATGACAAGTGTGTTGTCGTCAGCAAAGCAATATATTGGATTCTTGGTTCTTTCCAATGAGCCGTTGATATACAATAAAAAGAGGGTTGGAGACAATATGGATCCCTGGGAAACACAAGCGTTGACGCTGAAGGTACTCGAGAAATATCCATCGACAGCCACTTGCGGAGAAAGTTTTTTCAGGAAGCTACAGAGCCATAAACAAAAATTATCCGACAAGCGATACCATCGAAGTTTGGCCAGCAAACCCTCATGCTACACACTAGATACTAGTACATAAATTCATGATAATATCGAGTATATCAGGTACGTGGACCGCTTCGGGTAGTGGGTTGAGGTCTTTAGGGAGATGATAGCAGTGTCTTTGAAGTCTTCTAGAAGCCTTAGCAGGTCCCTGCCTTCTGGTGTTCGTTTCTATGGTTCCATTCGCACGATTGCGCGTTAAAATCGGCAATAGTCACTATTGGGTGGTTTGGATGGTTTGTGTATTTCTGATATGTCGGCTGTCTGTGAGTCTTCTGGCTGGGATAGGTACACCAAGAAGACCCTAGGCTGTTCGTCTCACGCCCTCTATGACTCTAATGATTTGCTTTATTTGTAATCTGTATTACATAAACTGCATATATCAATCAATATATTCAGAAAAATTGACAACTCCTTCTTTTAGGTGCGGGAGAGTCTGGCAAATCCACATTTATAAAACAAATGCGAATAATCCATGGTGCCGGCTATTCAGAGGAAGACAGGAGAGGATTCATCAAACTAATTTATAGAAACATATTCAGGTCGATGCAAGCCATGATAAATGCATTGGAATTGATGAAAATTCAATACGGAGAATCATCAACTCAGGTAGAAGTTCTGTTTGAAAAATCTGTCTAAAATCTGTTTTTCTCAGAAGTTGTGAAACTTGTGCGAGCTAAAGACTTACGAGGTGTTACCTTTCAACGTATGATTCCTAACACGGTTGCAGAATCATCCCCGCTTCAACCAGATAAATTCTCTCGAGAAAAATATCTGGTCGAGGCGGGAATCGAATCCACGGTCTTCCGATCGTGAGTCGGGCGCACTACCACCGCGGCCAATTCCACAACAATTTTTCATGAAAATGCTAAACGGAGAATCATCAACTCAGGTAGAAATTATTTCTCATCATTAATATATACGGGCCTCTTCAGCTGATTCCACTATTTCTATTACGGAGGCGGTAAGACCTAAAAGGTCGGTTAATTGGACAAAAGTTTCTCATTTTGGGGAACTAGAATTTTTTTTTCAGATATGGATTATGAGTGGTTGTTTTTTAAATATTTCTGAAACCACATCCAGATCTGTACTCAAGATTCAATTAGTCCATATCGTCCTAGTAAATAGTAGTAGTACTAATAGTAAATCCTTCATCAAGTCACGAGTTCCACATTGTGCTCTACTTTGAAGGCTTGGACTTACCCAAGATTGTCGTTTGCACCGTCTTTTTTTCATTCTCGAGTATGGTATCCGCAGCTGGAGCAATTAGTAAATCCTCAGTGAACATTGTACGACTAAACTAACCTGAACGTTTCTATAGTCGCTAACTTGCCAACGGCAAATCGAGGCTCAATGTGGATGCGCCTTAATATGTTTGATTTAGACCAGTCTATCTGTAAATTTGTAATTGTTAATACCCTTATTCAGAACGGGCATCATCTTATATTTTTTGTGCAATAAAATATTTCAGGAACTGGCTCAATTAATCAAAAGCGTTGACAGCGAAAGAATAAATACATTTGAAAGTCCTTACGTGGAAGCTATAAAGGATCTCTGGAATGACAAGGGAATTCAAGAATGTTACCGCCGACGTAGAGAATATCAGTTATCAGATTCCACGAATTAGTAAGTATTTTATAGAAGATTAGATACAATTCATTGCAAAACCTGAGAACAACTAAACTTCTCGAAAATGTCATCTGTAATCGCATACCATTCCTCAGTTCGTAATATCATATCCACGCAACAGCATGGATTTATGTCAAACAGATCCGCCATAACAAATTTAATTGTATTGACCCAAAATAGTAGTGAGGTTCACCAATTAGGTTTCCATAATTCAGCAATACTTTTCATTAAATCCTACTTACTTAAACGAGAACAGTTTGTATCTTATAACGGCTATGAATTTTTTTATTACAATCCGTTATATTTACCTGACGAACAAGATATTCTGCGTGTAAGGGAACCCACGACCGGCATCATTGAATATCCTTTCGATTTGGATGTAATCAGATTCAGGTGAGGCAAAACAAGTTACCTTACGATCAACACATAAAGTAGCAGAATATTTTTTTTAATTCAGGATTGTTTTCTCATAATAAAGCATTTTAATGATCATTTCAACTGAACAGTACACTCCATTCACATAAAAGATGAAATGCCTACATTAAATAAAGTTTTGTCAGCTATTCGTGAAGACAGTTCTTCTCCTGATATAAGAAGAACTAGATTATGAAAGATATTACAAGAGCTAAACTTCACTTTTGGAAAACAAGATAGAAAGAGCAAGTTGATAGAAAAACCAGAGAATGTAGAATGTAAAATGTAGAAGAAACTATCTAAGAGAAATAAAGAAAGCCGGAACACTCGGTAAATCTGTTTTTTATTTAGATGAAACATGGGTCTGTGAGGGTCATACCGTCTCGAAGGTTCGGCAAGACCAGAACATCAAACCCCTGTGAAAAGTATCTCTCAGTACAGACACACTTTTCTACTTCTTGAAAATGGCTTCAAAGTCGAAGCCGAAACGTCGAACAATGCAAAAGTTTGAGCGCGGTTCAACCCGAAATTCAGCCACGGAAGCGTATTCTATTTATATACTTACCTGGTGACGTTTTGAAGATAGTCTCCATCTTCATTATCAAAGCTACGATCAATTTTATGTTATCAGTGTCAATAATAATAATAATGTAAATCAAATTGATTTACATTGAAAGACGAATCATAACTACGAATTATAATGTTTTGATTCAAATAGTTCAGATAAAGAAAATAGATAGTCTTAAAAACGTCACCAGATGATACATATTCATTTTTATATGCGAAACTATATCAATTCAAGCTACTAGATTTGTTTTTCAAAGATCTAATTTATCAAATGCTGTAATTTCCACATTTGTATTTATATTTAAAGTCAATGTTCTGCTTATTTTATAGCTCTAAGGAAGGTAACAATCCTAAACAAGAAACTAAAATTTTTGTGTAGAATGGTAGACGTCGGAGGACAAAGATCAGAAAGGAGGAAATGGATCCATTGTTTTGAAAATGTCACCTCAATCATCTTCTTGGTAGCTTTGAGTGAATATGACCAGGTCTTATTCGAATCACAAAACGAGGTAAGCTTCTGATAACTATCATCAATCACAATTCATCTCTTCAATTGAATATTTCAGTTATTTGAGCTATTTAATAGTTCAGTTCTGAATAATTTACATTTCTCTTCATTTCAATTTTGTGGTGTAAACTTTAAATATCACGGTTTCACCATGTTCGAACAGTGGAGTTGAATGAAGAATTCTTAGGGCTCGTTAGTTTATCCCCAATTAGGTTCCTAGTTGTTATGTACTTACAAAGATGTACTTAGTTGTACTTACAAAGAAAATGGTAAGGTAAAGAAAAGCAGAAGAAAAGCTCAGCTTCAATTCTAAAAAGTGTAAGCTGAAGAGAAGAAATATACCCTTGTCACGATGACAGTTTATATGAACATTTATACGAATAATTAGTCCAATCCTCGCCATACTCGAAATTTACTGCGAAAGGGAAATATTTTCAGTGTTATTCAATATGCATGTGAAAGTAGTACCTAGTATCGAAGGTTTTTTCTTCCAGTTTGTATCTAAAAGTAATTGCTATGCATGATCCAGACATCTTTGTAAATAGTTCATTCTGAAACTAATTAATTTTTCCTTCCTTTCAAAGTTTTTCAAATTTTTGTTTTATTTTTTTCCAGAAAGATAATATATTCTTATTATGTTCCCAATTATTTGTTACATAATTGTAATCATTTCTTTCCTTTTTAGAATCGTATGGAAGAATCTAAAGCACTTTTCCGAACTATTATCACGTGCGATTATTTTGAAGATTCGTCTTTCATGTTATTCTTGAATAAAATGGATATTTTGAGAGATAAAATTATGTACTCGCACCTGGCTGACTATTTTCCCGAATTTGATGGTAAGTAATTTCATTTCACAGAAACAAGCCATAAGATTGTTTCAGAGATTTTATAGAAAACAGGCGATCTTCTCACAAAAATTATTGAAATAATGTTCCACAACATGTATTGAAATAATGAAAACAATATCATATACTTATTCTGGATTTTACTAGCTCGGACTTGCATTGTCCAATATGATTCGAAATATATGAGAGAACAGATAAAATTAGAACAAATAGCTGAAATATAAATTATAAAGGTTTTTTCAATCAGGGCGGGTAGATGTTGAAATGGAATGAAACAAGCTGTGTGTGAGGTATTAACAAAATGATTTTTTTATTTGAAAGGCGCATGTATGCCATTAAGTGTGGAATATGACATCATTCAAAAGCCCGCCTCGGCTTCTTACGGTGGCACGGATCCAAGTGGTCCAATTTTCAATGATTCTTCCGCATAGATCCGGCTGAATTTGAGCGATGGCCTGTGTTATGTTCACCTTTAGGGCATCGGTCGATTGTGGTTTATTTGCATAGACCTGCGACTTCAAGAAACCGCACAGGAAAAAGTCTAGCGGGGTCAAATCGCATGACCTTGGTAGGCGATTCACATCACTCCTGCGAGAGATAACCTTACCCTCAAATCGTTCATGCAAAATGTCAATTGTGGCGTTTGCTGTGTGGCACGTAACGCCGTCCTGCTGGAACCACATGTCGTCCAGGTCCATATGGTTCAATTTGGGCCATAAGAAATTAGTTATCATCGTTCTATAGCGCTCGCTATTGACGGTGACCGCCTCACTAAAAGTACGGACCAATTACGCCGCCGGCCCAAAATCCGCACCAAACGGTAACTTTTTGAGGATGCATTATCACCTGGTGAACCTCGCGTGGGTTGGTGTCGGCCCATATACGGCAATTTTGCTTGTTAACACAGCCATTCATCCAAAAATGCGCTTCGTCACTAAAGATGATTTTTCAGCCAAAATGGCCAAACGATTCAAAGCCCAGTCAGCGAACAAACGGCGTTGTCCATGGTCATGAACTTTGAGCTCCTGGGTCAGTTGGAACTTGTACGAGTGTAGGCCCAAGTCCCGACGCAAAATTCGCCAAGTTGAACTCTGCGAAAGGCCGAGTTCTTGTGCACGGCGAGGAATAGACTGCCTCGGGTTCTGCTGTACACTTTCACGGACCGCGGCGATGTTCTCGGCCGATCTTGCATTCCTTGAACGTACGAGTATATTGGCTAATTGTTGACTGTACTGGTCGTCTCAAATTTGGCCACCAAACGTTGAAGAGTCGACTTTGAAGGGCCACCACGTCTACCGTAAAATGGGCGCAATGCGCGCAACGTTTGCGTTAACGAACACTCATTTTGATAATAAAGTTTTATCATTTAAACGTGCTGTTCAATCGTGTAACTTGCCATGATGATTTGGCATAAACAACTGAATAATAAACAAAAGATTTGACAGATGTCACCAAAACAAAATGGCCGCCACGGAGCGCCAAAATCTACCCGCGCCAATTGAAAAACCCTTTATAAAACAATAAAACGTGAAATGGAAACACAATAAATCAATAAAATAATCAAGATGAAAGATGAAAATGGCTATAGAGTAAAAACAAATGAAAAATAATAAAAATTAGCAAAACATTAAAGAAAGTAAATTAAAAAAAATTCAAACCAAGTTACTTCACGACGTTTCGATTATTAGTATGCATAATCGTCTCCGGGTGATGACTAGACTCCGAGAGATAACTATTGCTTGATTACAGGTTTCCACATGTTGCGTATCTCTGCGCTAGCTTGGCTGAATGCGTCGTTAGACAACATATATGCTGCTTCTTTGAACTTCCTCCGAAACCAGTTTTATTTCCTGTGGATGATCTCAGCTTGTAACCACTTGTTGTTATGTTGATGAGTCCAAACATGCTCTGCTATTCCCAATTCTGAAGTTGTACTCAATTCTTCTTATCCTTTCCGACAATCCTCTGACGTAGAGAAGGGCACGCACTAGTTGTAGCAGCTTCTCTTTCTTGCGAGGCTCTTGCTATCTCTAACCAAAGTATATTCCACCGTCAGTTTGGAGTAACCATTCCGTTGAAGATATTTTTGATGATGCTTAGTTCCTTCTCGAGACTTTCCTTCGTATAACAGACCCTGAAAGCACGTTCCACTAGGGTCTTGATGATTCTTCTGTTGGTATATTGATGGTGGTTGGATCCCTGATTGGTGTCGGCCATCTTCACTGATACGTCTAAGAATGGCAATTCCTTATGGACTTCTTTTTCCATTGTGAAGGTGATGAAAGGTTTTACACTGTTGATGTGCTTCAAAAAGGTGTATAGTTCTGTATTCCCATGGTCAGAGTTTCAAACCAATCCGTTATATGTAATTTTTAGGATTGGGTAAATTTAAAAATACGGCTAACCAAGAGTCATCGCGCTATACCCTGTATATAAATTACGTAACTCACCGATATTTCATTTTTAATTTCCACGTTTTTTTTTCAAATTTGCTGACTTGAATTATTTCTTTTAGGTCCTAAGCAAGACATGATCGCAGCAAGAGAATATATCCTGAGTATGTTTGCAGACTTGAACACCAACCCGGAAAAAACTCTTTACTCGCATTTCACTTGCGCCACAGGTATAAAAAAACAATTAATAGAATATTCGAACGAATCATATTTCCGTTATTCGCGAAAGCTGTACTCTAGTTTGGAAACAATGATCACAATTTATAGTAAGACACACAAGGTTGGTTATATTGTACAAAACGTCACTAAAACTAATTAATACAGTTTATTGTATGATTTTCACTATAAAAGAGTTTCACAAGAACCGCGACACGTGTTACAATAACTTCCTCAAGCGTAAACAGTTTACGCTTGAGGAAGCTATTGTATAGCGAAAAACGTGTTGCGATTTTTGTAAAACCCTTTTATAGTGGATACAGAGGGCTGAAATAAAGGGGTGCTAATTGGAACTGGATCACGCTGTATGGTATTTTTGAAATTTACACAAATACCAACTCTCATCCACTCAAGTTGGGCTCAAAGGTTCGTAGGCTAACGGAATGTTTTCAGTTTAATAATAAGTGATTTTTGCTGGTATGTTTTTGGCAACACTGTTTTTGACAGATCACGCGTGAATCGTGTCTTGTGTCATTGTCAAACTTATTCAGTTTGGTCTATAAATTAACCATGAATCGACTTACGAATGAACAACGCTTGCAAATTATTGAATTTTATTATCAAAGTTCATACTCGGTGAATAAAATGCATCGTGCACTTCTACCAATTTCTGGGCAGTTTCGGTGGCCTACTGAGGGAGTTATTCGGAAGCTTGTGACTAAATTTCGAACCCAGTTTATACTATTGGACAATAAACCACCAATACGCATTCGTAGAGTGAGAACCGAAGAAAATATTGCGGCTGTATCCGCCAGTGTTCATGATGACCGTGTAATGTCGATTCGCCGCCGTTCGCAGCGATTGGGCCTCTGTTACTCCGCTACGTGGAAAATTTTGCGGAAGGATTTAGGTGTTAAACCTTATAAGATACAGCTGGTGCAAGAATTGGAGCCACACGACTTCCCACAACGTCGTGAATGGGCGCTGGCAAAGTTGGAGGAAGATCCACATTTTTATCGAAAAATTGTGTTCAGCCACGAGGCTCATTTCTGGTTGAATGGATACGTTAACAAGGAAAATTGCCACATCTGGAGTGAAGACCAGCCACAAGCATTACAAGAGCTACTGATGCATCCCGAAAAGTCACCGTTTGGTGTGGATTATGGGTCGGTGACGACAATGGCCGGAACGTTACTGTGAATGGTGAGCGCTACTGTGTGATGATTGACGACTTTTTGTTGCCCAAAATGAAAGAATTGGACATGTCTGACATGTGGTTTCAACAAGACAGTGCCACATGCCACACGACACGCGAAACAATGGCCCAATTAAGAGCCGCCTTCGGAGTGCAGTTTATCTCACGTTTGGGACCTGTCAATTGGCTGCCTAGATCGTGTGATTTATCGCCTTTGGAGTATTTCTTGTGGGATCATGGTAAGGCTCATGTCTACAGAGATAAACCAGCAACGACTGACGCTCTGGGAGCCAATGTTGAAGCATTTATACGTAAAATACCGGTCGATATGTGAGAAAGAGTGTGTCAAAATTGGACCTTGCGCATGGGCCATCTAAAGCGGATCCGCGGACAACATTTGAATGAAAAGATCTTCAAACATTGAATTATATTAATCGTTCTATCGATTCCAATAAAGATTTCATCATTTTTTTTTTAATTTTTTGTGTTTTGACAATCAAATCATATACCTCTTAAAAAATCACCCGTTAGTTGCCTTTGGGGCCGATACAACGATTATAGTGGTTATACAATTTTTTTATACCATTTTTTATAGTACGATTTATCTTTAGCCTTAAAATAGGCCTCAGTTCTGAGATTACATCTTCATCAACGCTGAATTTCTTTCTAGCGAGAAAAGAGTCGCTGAGAGCTAAATCTGGAGAATAGGGTGGATGCGAGAGCAATTCGAAGCCCAATTCATGGAATGTTGCCATCATTCCCATTGATTTGTGACACGGTGCATTACATTCCCAATGGTTGATTTTCCTGGTGCAAAGTCGAATAATGTTTATCAATCCAAACCTCGGCTATAACAGTACTTTTTTCGTCAAAAGTCATGTTTTGTTAACACACGAAATTCCTTTTTATCCATTTTCTTCAAACTAACAAAAGTTGCTTTACTCAACATGTTCTATCCCACAAACTAATAGACCTAGTGCTGTGAAGTTTGTTCACCTGCGCCATCTGGGTGTTAGCCTACGAACTTTTCAGTCAATTAGTTATATCTAATCAAAATTGCAATAAATTTCCATTTGATGTGTGCTTGTTTCTTCACTCATCAGATAAATAAAGAAAGAGCTCCTTTTTTCAGAAATCAGTCTATGAAGAAGTTAATTTTCTTGGCATATAGTATACAACAAATTCCGTGCCTAAAAGAGAATCTCCAACTGATTTTGTTGTATTGTTGATTTACAGATACTGGAAATATGAGATTTGTGTTTGCGGTGGTGAAAGACACAATATTGCAATTGCAACTCAACCGGTACAGCTTGGATTAGTACATCTCGACCAGGAAATACTTGGAATTCGTCCTCAGCGTCAGTTTATATTTTATCATCAGACCAGTTCGTGATATATTTCAATGAATCTCGAGTGAAAGAATAGAAATGATAAATAGGCAATTATTATTTATATTTCAAAACATGTAGCACACGATATGAGCAGGATGGTCTATGAGTCACTATATTATTTTTTTTCTTTTAACTTATCACTTTCAGAGTTTGATATTGAAAATATTCAATAAAAACATGTAATACTTCAAAAATTTATTGGATCTTCGGAAATTAACTAAGAATTTTTCTATACAAGACGACGGTTGAATTCCGGAAGATGACTAAATTATCCATTCATCTATCAATTCTCATTCACACTGAAGTTTTTTATTCTCAGAGACCAACCTGTTCAAACTATCGCATGAGTGAGTAGGTAAATTTCTTATTATATATCACCAACAGTATACAAATGTTCGTCCATTTGCCGCAGGTTTTCATTTCATTTCATATCATAAATATTCATTTACTGTAATTTTATACTTCATTTACCTGAAAATTTACAAATTTCATCTGGAAAATTGAGTTTTTGTCTTTCATAATTGTATAATGACAGGTTGTGAAACCACATAACGCGTTTCCTATACAAAATATGCCTTTGTCTCCAAGACTCGCTAAAATACGTTTACCGTTTATATTCACCATTCGGTATACCGTCAGCCAAAGTCATCACAAATATATAATTCACGTTCATTTTATTTCCCTCATCAGCTTATGTCATCATTTTATCTGATTCTCTGTGATTACTCCTCAATATAATTGGATCTTCATCTGGAGTGGAAATTTATAATCGATATGTCCTCTGGAACGGTATTACCATCTCTCCGCCTGAAGACAATTCGATTTTCACCACCCTGTAAACGTTATCTTTCCTTGAATATACTTTTAAAATTTAACCCATTGAACAGCTTATAGGTTTAAAGTTGTCTGAGCCAACCAATACATCACCGACCTCCAATTTATCATGCATCTGTCAACCAGTATGAACCATATGTGCTAAATACTCCCTACTGAATCGGTTTCCAAGAGAATCCTTTAGTTTTTGCAGGTATCTCAATCTTTTCTTCTCTTCCTCTCTGTCCAAAATTACTTGAGGAATGGAAACAAAATTTTCAAATATTTTGTGTAGTGGACGATAAAGAAATATTTTTCATTTCCACAAGAATTACTGAAATGAGCCCAGAACTTGTTCCTTTCTGAAATAGTAAACTTAACATTCGAAATGTAAGTAATTAATACCACCAATATATATATATTTTAAATTGTATAACTCTAATCTAATACCCAACCAGCTTTCTGTTTTCTTAGCTTTTCGAATATATGAAGCAGTGTCTCTGTTATGCGTGCATTCACACGAATGCGGATAATTTTGATACATTGTGTGCTGTTCAATAAAAGTATGCCTGTAATTTCATGTAATTAATCAAAAAGAGGATACTCATAAAAGCAACATATCTGAAACACAATTACTAACTGAGTGTCAAGTGTTGAATTACTGTTCTGACTGGCTGCTCTGTCATTCTTTCGTTCTCTGATACTGTGATACAAATGACAAATGAATATAGGCAATCAAAATAAAATGATAACTTTTTATTTTCGATATTTAATTTCACGATGGTGTATGCATTAGCATTCTTGTTCATTATAATCCACTACTTAGAGCAGGTTGATTTATTCAGTGGTGTTTGTTTAACGCGAATTTTTAGCAATCGAATCAAATATATAAATGAACAAATCCACCGCTTGATACACATTAGGCAGATATAAATTGACTCTCTTGCCAAATTTGGAATTATTTACATTTATCCTATATAATTCACTATTTCAATCATAAAAACCAGAATTCCGTTCTCTTGTAACTCTACACCTGGCTCTACACCGTCTGCTCCATTAGCGTCAAATAGAATGCAACTCTAAAATCAAAGAATCCATGTTAAATTATTAAACGGCTGTTGTCTGCAGACGCTCATTGAATATTGACGTTTGGAGGTTAGGTCATTTGTTAACAACAGAGTTGTTAATAATGTTTTAATATAGAAATTTTTAATTTTAAGGACAATAATTTTATATTTCCAAGCTGGAAATATATTGCGGTAAGTGTTTTTATGCCACAGTACCTAATGAATTATTTTAGATGAGAGGGGCTAAGGAATATTGCAAAAAAAATTCAGAGCCTTGTACAGTTCAGTTGCTGGAATTTAGTATTGATTGTCATTCAGGAATTTCTTCACTGGTATTTGCTAATGATCTAAAACTCGCTTGATAAATTTCTTGGAAATGTTTAATTTTTCTGTGTGATGTTTATTAGTGTACCAGATTGCCAAAATTTACTTTGACTAGTTGACATTTTCATATATATTATAACTTTTACAGATACTGCCATGAAGCATAGCACATAAAATGATAAGATGTATATTTTCCCGATCATTTTCCTAGTACGAGAGATGGAATTGAAATAATTGATATAGATGTTATATTTATTCACCCATAATGTTCAATGAATCAGACTTTCTAGCTGATTTAGCTTCTATACCTCCAGATCCCCCATTTATGAGGAATGTCTGCAATGAATGTCAGTAAGTAATTTTTTCAAAATACCTATAACAATAAAACTTTTTGAATTCGGTTTTCAAATCGAAGTTTCATTAAATTCATTGAATAATTTCATGGAAATGAAAAGATAAATAGATGAGTACTATTTCTATCATCCACAATTTGTCTTCAATTCAAGAGCCAGGTGAGTAGACAACTGTTTCGGTCTAATGGACATCATCAATACCAGGTAGGCGGTCCTCGATAGGTAATGAAATGTGGAAAACCAAAATGTGTACTTGATAAAAATCACTGAGTAAAAGCAAGCGTGGCATAAGCAGAACCACCTATTGGTGTGACACCTAGGCTTGACAAGTTTTCACGTCGACATTGGTGGTTTGAACAATCTTTGAAACCGACAACTAAGTTAACTGAAATTTAGAAAGCTCTCCTGGAATGCCATTGGAAAATGAATCCACATGTTTCTAGAAATGATATAAAAAAATCAAGAATGGTTAATGCAGTTGAGCTGTTGTTCTACTAAGAGCAATCTGTTCTTCCAAAAAATCATTTTTTTTCACTTTATTGTGTTGCCTCGGCTGCTTGGCATTCCACAGAATGGATTTTCTTCTGTAAATTTTGAAATAAACTCTTGAGAATTCATTTTGTCCACACCAAAGTGTAACACGTTACTTAAAACACATCAAAGTTCGTTGTCCAGTCCTTCAAATGTCCCCTAACATATAAACCTCAAACATGCAACATTTCTTTGATGCGACACTAAAAAACTGAAAACTCATTTTATGACGGAATTACATTACAATGTGCTGTTCTGGGTCCGTACTTAGCTGTACTCGCTTCGCATTGAAGCTTACCGCCATCTATTGTACACTTTGGCAACTATCGGAGAGAAATGAATGTGTGGTTTAAACGATAAAATGGTATATAAAATGTTTGTTGCTGTCAAGTTGAGGGTTTTTTTACCATTACCTGTGCCACCTGCCAGTATGCCGAAATCTAATTTGGCTTTATGGGTAATCCAGGTCTGAATGGAGTTATGAGGAAATTCATAATGTTTTCCGAAATTGTTAACACTCAACCTTTGGCTTAAACACGCTGTCTCTTCAGAAAATGAGGTGGATTTTGATTTTTTTCAAAAGATATCTACAGGATTTTTTTAAATGTTGGGCATGGAGCGTGTGGCCGGGAAGTTCTTTCCAAAATTGCTGAATTTAAAAAAAAATTGCATGAGCATCGTTCAGGAATTGTTGAATGAAGACAAAGGCGATCCAGATTTGTTTAAAAGGGTCATAACTGCTGACGAATTATGGGTTCAAAGTCCAATTGTCCTAGTGGAAGAGCCCAGTAGAGCCAAGACCAAAAAGGTAATTCCAAGATCGATCAAATATCAAGGTTTTGCTCACCGTTTTCTCTGATTACCGTGGAACAATTCGCGTGATACTGATTATTTTACTGATGCCACTTGGAAACAGATAAAACATAAACTGTAATTTAACTTTCATTGTGAGCAGTGGAGCTGTATAAAACAATGAGTTCATCATTAATTACTATCTGAATAGCTAATATCAGGAGCTTGTTACCAATTAAATAATAAGATATTGATTCCAGAATGAATCACGCTCCATCTCAATTATTTTCTAGTAATATTTTTTAATCGTTTTTTTTTATTTCAGTCGACCATCGACAGTTTGCTATTGCAGTTCATTACCAAATCCACGATTGTGCCCTCACAGTAGAATAATACTCCTGCAACATCCTGCAGAGGAAAAGAGGTGCCTTAGAACTGCCACTATGTTACAATTAAGTCTAGAAGCCAATAAATGCCTCACGTTCAAAGGAAAACGATTTCCTGGGCGCCACGATGAATTAAATGAAATCCTAACCGAAACAAATACATTGTTACTGTATCCCAGTCCATCTGCGGTGGATATAACGGAGATAGTTAAAGATGGCGTTCATTCGTCATACAACATTGTCATTATCGATGGAACTTGGCCACAGGCGAAAGCAATATACACAGCTAGTCCTATTTTACACAGTATCAAACAAATAAAAATTCTTGATATCGATATAAGCAGATACATCATCAGAACACAACCAGCTGATGGATGCTTGAGTACTCTAGAAACTGCTGCTTTGACATTGTCTCTTCTAGAAAAGAATGGAATATATAAAAATGAACTTCTCAAGCCTCTCCAAACGATGTGCGAGTATCAGATTCAAAACGGAGCAGTTTCTCACCAAAGCAAGGAGTTTCGAATTAAAAATAATTCATACCCTAAATTGATTGGCAAAAGGTTGAACAAAGTACTGAGAAATGCAGATTCCATGAGGAATTCTTGATTTTAGAGAAAATTTTAATAGATAGTGACCATATATGTTTATATGAATAAACTTTGAAAACTATTTACAGTAATTTTAGTTTTTTTATTGACCTATACTTTTATCCTTCAGTGATATAAATTATTCAAAAGCATCAACATCAATATGAACTGAAAATGTTTATTTTTTTCTAAAAAACTCGCTGATGTACTCTCAATGTAAGAGAAATGAATACCATTAAATTGGTAAGATTTTTCATTTAAACTAACCCTTGCAAACCTCCCCCCTATAAAAGGTGAGGATTCCAATTTTTGCTATTCCATTAGTTAAAAATTCTTTTGAATGCATCGTAAGTATTCAAAAGTTCTTCTTGTTATATTCAACTCGGTGCACATCTCATTCAAGTTTTCAAAGTTCATCAGACTCAAACCCGCTAAACCCAAGTATGTGTGCATTGGATCCGGCACAACATTTATCCATTTAGAAAACCCTCCATATTTATCTTGCGTCATCAGTATAAACTGATGATTATTGTCATTCTTTATGAATTCATAAGATTCCAAAATTTTCAGGGCTCCCCCCGTCCAGAAGGAATAGCATGTGTCTATTGGTTTGTTGGGTCTCCCGTTAAATCCTCCATCAAAACGAAAGAGTAGCCATCTACGTAAAGCTGAGACCTGTGGCTTTGTCAATCTATCCAAATTGTTGCTCAATGCTAAGGCAGCTATCGCACAAAACGTTGAACCACAATGTGATTCCAATTCAGGTCCTTGGCCAATACCTCCATCGTAGGACTGAAAAAATATATACAAAATACAGTTAACTGAACATAGATTTATTAGTTTCAGATATGCTAATCATTATAAGACATTGGAACCGAAAAGTACCACTGAATGATCAGGAATGTTCAAAAAATAATGTGAATGTTCAAATTTAACGGACAAGTACATTCGATTAGCGATTTTTTATTTTTTTTATGTTGGTACACTTGACTCGAACATATGTTCACACTTTCAGGTGTTTAGCATGTTTTGTTTGTTAGTGAGAGGTATAAAAGTTGGAAGTGTTCGGCGGTTTTCTATCGAAAAAAAATTGGTTGTACAGTCAAACTGTGGAAAAACTATTCATAGCTTGCGACTTTTTTCTATTTCAAGATTGGAGAAACCCATAAAAGGATGGCGTTTTGCAATGATTGAGGAGATAAATACGTAGATATCTGTAAACTAGTATTATCTTCATAAAAACTCACTATGCTTTTTAATATAAATTGAACCATCAACTCTACATTTACGCCTGACCAATCATTTAAAATATAGGAAATACAGGCAGCGCAAAAAACAAATCGCATATCACTCTCTACACCAAGTTTGGCTCCTTTGAATGATCCATCGGATAATTGTAATGTTTTCAAACCTGAAATCAATAATCATGAATTCATAACAGATCAATTATTTTTGAAATTATTACTTACTATTTAATATGGCACTTCGATTAACTCGTTTCAAATCATCACCTAAGATTAGCAACGTTGCTAAACAACAATAGGTATTAGCAATATGGGAATACTTGTAAATACTATTTTTTTCTTTATTTTCCTCCGTGTTCAGAGTTGTTGATCCCTGGAAGCCACTTACTAAGTCTGTAACAATCTATTTTAATAGGGGGTTTGTCTATTGGAACCAGTTGGTTAACCTTCTTCATTAACAACTTGTAATGAATATATCCAAGAAATGATGGATTCACGTTGTTCCATTGGTAGTTCATTCAATTTACCCAAAACATCTAATCCTGATATAGCAAAATATAAGAGTAATGATCTGAAAGCATAAGCTCATTTTCCCAAAAGGAATTTTTGAATGAACCAAAACTAACCTGTTTGTGTCCATATTATTCAGTGCCGATGGTAACTTACCATTCAAAATGAAAAATAAATATTTTTTATGTAAGTCAGCTGAAAATGAGTGCATTGTCGTTCTCATATTTTAAATCACCTAACATAAAATTCAAAATTGAGTATTTCCATAAATCTAAAATTCTTTCCATTAACCTTAATAATGCATTCTTCTTCTTATTTAGCTTTTTGGTTTTAAGTTTGAATTCTAGATACAGAGTAAAGAAATTACCATAGATATTATCCAATTTTGGGGTCGCAGTCAAGTTTTGTCAAGCTTTCGGTAATGCTAATACAACTGCAATACATTAGTTACTATGTAAGAAAATTACTAAAATTTTTTTCCAACATCAAACCATTATTTTAACACCTCGACACGTGTTTCGATCACTAAGTATCATCTTCAAGATCACAGTGTAATCTTCCTCTTGAAGATGATCGCTTGGTGATCGAAACACGTGCCGAGGTGTTGATGTTGAAAAAAAAATTCAGTAATATTCATTACTACACCAAAGGTTCCAAACAGTGCATCACAAATAGTTAGTTAATTTGTATCACAAACTGATCTACTTAAGAAAACAAGTAGATATCTTTTGGGAAATGAAAAATGTTTGTGAAGGAAGTGACTAACGGTGACAATAATTTCAAGAAAGAAATGTTTTATCGTATGTGGACTCGAATTTTCTTTTTGATATTCAAGATTGAAAGTATGAACTCAGATGAGATGATTTGAATCATATGGTTAATTGATGAATCTATCGTCATTATTGATATGTATTATTTCCATAAAAACTCTTTTTGATTGGTTTGATTCTGTACAAAGGACAGTGAATTGTTAAAATCCATTTATAGTCATAATAATTAGGTAACATCTTCTGAAACTGCACAATCTGTCGATGTTCCTCCTGCAATCACTTTTATGAGAAACGACGCGAGATAAACTGAACTATGACAGTTGTTCAGAAAAGTAAATGTCAAACAATGACTGAAAATAAATACTTGATATACAATATAAGGTGACATTATCAATTATCGACAAAAAATGTTAACAGGTCGACGAAATTGATCGTTTGAAATTCAGTTTATGAAGGGACAGTCAGATTAAATTCTGATCATATCGGTGAGTTGATTTTTCAATAACGAAATATGAGTATAACACAGAATATTCAATATTCGTTTTCAATGAATATAGTTCGTACCTACTCAAAACAGTTCAAACCTCAAAACATAAAAATTAAAAAACAAAGTTGATGCTATTGCTTGCCTTCCTTTCAAAAGGAGAAAAACGGCAACTCTAGACGGAACAAGATTTCTCAGACTACTGTAAGAAAAGGAATCAGAAATCAAAATGATGAAGTCAACAACCAACCGTCATTTATATATGAGTTTTCAACTATAGAACATATTATTCTTCCATGCAGAAATCACTTTCAATTAAAACGACAGAGTAGACAGAATATGTAGTAGAAGGGGGCAGGTATATATACAAATTCTGTTTTCAGCTCGTACATAACATATTATGAAACATATGAATTGACATTGCATCACAATTCTACGATGGCCCGCTCCATCACCTGTCGTGTAAACACAACAGTAATTTTATCCATGAAACATATATAGTAACTGTGACCACACATTCTTCACAAAATTCGTATCCGATGAACGTTTGTGGAAATGTGAATATTCGATTTCTGTCACAATCAGGATTCGTGATTGTGACAGACGTGTCCGACGCACGTTGTGCGTCGGATGGCAACACTTCCCAGTGCCAAATGACATTGTATACCATTCTGTGAGTTATAGCGCAAAACCAGGTGGAGTTTGGGTCCAACTCAGATCCACTTAAGTGTGGGCTTCACCTATAGTAGCAACATGATCCTGGAACTCCTGACTGGATAGCCCTGGCAGCTGAAGCCATTAATGGAAAAAAGAAGAAGAACCATTCTGTGACAAGGATATCTGACAACTGACATTATGTTGTGAACACGTCAAAAATATCAACATTTATGATTTCTAATCATTAACCATTTTTAAATTCGAATTAAAGGAACTTTCAAATCGAATTCATAAAATATAATTGAAATGGGAGATTTTTTAAACTCCAACCAATCTGAATTTTATTGGAGCCAACAAAATCCTACTCCAACAACCAGTCAAACTTACTATGAGCAAGATTATAGTCAATTTGGAAATCAACAATTGGGTAAGAAAATGATTGGTTTTTGAAAAAATACAATTTTCATAAGTTGTATTTCAGAGTTCAATTCAAATAACGAATATGGTGATCAAAATTTTGCCAACTATCCAACTCAAATGTTGTTACCAGAACAATTTGACCAGACAGTAAAAGGAACTGATGAATTCGATGAACCACCTCTATTGGAAGAATTGGAGATTTATCCTGATCGTATTGTAGAGAAAGTGTTAGCTGTCTTGAACCCTTTGAGGGGTCACAGCTTGGCTGATGATGCTGAATATTTAACTAAAGAATCTGACCTGGCCGGATGTCTGAGAATTTTTATATTTGGTTATAGTTTCAACTTGGAAAAACTCCTTTTCGCAGATTAATTTTATTATTTCTTCTTATAACATCAAAAGACGCCAACAGTTTGTGGTAGGAATGTTTTACGAAATTCATTGTTACAGAGATCTGAATAATAATTCAATATAATTCGAAACGTTGGCCGAAAACAAGTTCTTTCGAAGATAATTCAAACCAGTTATCCAACAAATCATTCTAGAAAAAATGTCTGTGGCTAGTTCAAGAACGTTGAAAACCTGCAGAAATTTTCATTTTAATTGATAATACAGCCGATTACGAGGATATAAAGGTTTCTGTCAACCAGAAGCAGAAGACTGGTGTTATTTCTTTTGAGCCTAACTCATGCCAAAAGTGACTCAAGTTAGGTTAGGTCAGTTCCAAAGTGAGTGGGTCCATTCGACCCTATACCGTAACCCGCAAGGGTTTATTGTGGTTCACACCTATTCACATTCGACGAAATAACTCGAAAGACCTGATTTGGTCCCCAGCGGGGCAGGTACAATGTATATACTCTGCTGTTTCATCGTTAATGAGGTAGTCGGATAGTCAATGCGCAAGATTGCCACCTTTATACCCGCCACAACCTTCCCATATGAGGGTTTTTGCACGTCAGCTACAACTGACGATGCCTTAGATTCAACCGTGCATACAAATCGATAAGATGACATAAAGGCACTTCTACTATTCATGGTTGGGTTGCAATTACAATATTGTCACGTTTTCTCCGTAGGCTCGATGATAATTGACCACACACTACGATTAAATTCAAATTCATTTCACTACTACACTGCCAATATAACACAAAAGCTTCAACTGAACTTTAGAGTTGTTATCTCACTTCGTACCGCACTTTGAACTAGACTAGCCTCCTCTGGGGGCGTGGTCATCTTGATTTCTGGCGAGTTTTTAATAATAAAATCCCCGTCTCTTTCATCTTGAATTGTTATTTGAATCTGAATGTTATTTTTGGAACGCGGCCGAGATTTCTCTCGCCGCCTGGAGTGTCCTTTTGGTAGAGGACTTTTCTTTTGTGAATAGCATTCACATAGTGCTCGAGCTTTGCCAGCAGCAGCTAATGTGTTTTATTTCAAATCATTTCAGTGTTGTAATTCATCTTTTTATATACCTAATCGGTTCCATTTTTTATATGTTATCTATCAGTGTAAGGAGACCTATAAAGCCAAGTTCTAATCAATTTCTTTTAATGTTTTCATCATGAAGGAGCCTTTCATTCAATAAATAATTTTCTGATTGATTCGGCCGTTACTTCATGAAGATCCATAGTAATTTCAAAAACTACACCTCATGATTTGATTTCTACAAACTTTATTTAAAAAATATATCACAACATGGTGTGGTGTAGTTTTTGAAATCAATAAATAATTATTGAAATATTTCCATCAGCAACAGATTGGAAAATAATCGAATAAAGTGATGATACATCAAACACCGTATGCAGTACACCTATCAGGTGGTTTTCGGACATAATCAATTGTCCTAAACATCCAGCCAGCCAGGCGTCAATGCGTATTCGTGTTCTGCCAGTTCTCGGTTCCATTTGCTGCCATTTTCCACCCTCAGTTTTCAGCTTTCAGTTATTTCAGTTTGCGTTTAGATAGGCAATAACTGGTCGGGTTATCGTGCAAAAATCGCTGTTATTTCATGCATGTAGGTACTCATATTGACGTTTGAGAGGGAAAGTGGTTCGATGTCCTAATCTGTTTATATTCTGTTAGTGTAGCTGTAGAAGGGTGTTATAAGTGACATCTAACCTAAATTATCCACCAATATCTGTACCTTTTGGTAAGTATATTCTAGCTGTAATTATTAGAAAATGTTAAGTATTCATAAAGTTATCAGTTTTTAATTCTCTCAATTATGAAAGCATTGATTTTGTTTGTGAATAAAAAATATGAAGAACTCAATTAGATTCCATGGTTTGAAAAAATCAAAAACATGCAGAGAAATTATATTTACGGACGAATGAACAATTTAAAAANTTACGCTAACAAGTCCGGAAAGAACTGTGTTGTGTACACTATTTTTCCGGTAACTAACAAATCAATGAGATTTAGTTATTATATTTCTTTGTAAAAAAGAATCTAAAATACTATTTCTCATTTGTGTTGAATATTGAAATTCGAACAAAAAATTGGTACTAATCGAAATATTCTGATTCTTATTTGTATCAATCGAACAACTGCTAATATTGAAAAGATTCAATTTGTTTAAAATCCTTGGTATATTTAAATATCTTTTGTTGAAGTCAGAAAAAGAAAGTAAAGTTTCCGTTTCACATTGATTATTTTCATCTGATAATTTTTCAATGGTCGTGGCAATTTTGATTTTGTTCATAAGTGAGTTATCTATGTACCCCTCAGCGACATTGTTGAACTTCCAGACACCGTGTCTCTTCAAATATGAGATGTTTTCGGTTCTTGATCCGAGATTCCTGAAACTGTGGAATCCAACAAGCTGAATCGAAATTTTTTATCTTTAGTAGTCCACGAATAACACGTGATGTGACGTATGAGATGGCCCTAAAGATAAATAGTGGTTATACAAACAGCAGCAGGTTTTTTTGCCCAATTACAACAAACGTTCTCTAAATATGTGTTTTGGAATCTGGGTTTTCACAAGCAACGTGCCACTCCGGGGCTCATCTTTGAGGCTGAAATATCCGAAACGAAACTTCGCAAACCAACGTGCCTTCATTAACACTATTATTGGTGAATACCTGGGTAATTTTTTGGTATGTTTCGGTTGTGCTTTGCTTCATTTAGAATTCGTAGAGACAAATTAACCGAAACACCCATTTTTTTCACCGAAAACGGCGAGGCATATATGTTCATTGAAATTTGAAGATCGTTTGAAAAATCTAAATGAGAACACAGCACATGTTCAACAGGCAGTTTCCTGCAATCAATTCGTTACCAATCTATGATCTCCAACCCAGAAGCTCTACAACTTTTTTAGCGATAGTCTAAAAAAAATGCATCTACTTTATAGTAACATTTTCTGATTAGAAGCTTTCCCAATTTGTTTTTGAATATTTGTAATTTAATTGCCAATAATGATTTCATGATGTATATACATGGCACGGAGAGGATATTGTTTTCAATAAAGTAGCGTTTGCAAGAATCTGTACGTTTAATTCCGAAAATCAGGCGTATTATTCTCTTTTGTGGTATCAGCAATCTTTGAGATGATACTGCATAACCCCAGGCAACTAAGTATTTTATAGGATATACGAGGGCATAGTGAATATTGTTAAGTTGAAGCTTATTAAAGATGTTCTCCATCTGCAGAATGGCATAATACCCACTATTTTCTATCTTGCTGATATGATCGATACAATTTCTTTCGATACAAAGGTGTAAAACTGCAGAAAATATATTCAATTTCTCATTGACATTAATCTGACTCTCAAAACATGTGATCCCGGACAGTGTTGTGATTCTCTCCAACCTAGTTTGCACTTATAGGACAGCTGTGGTTCAGTTTAACAAGTGGTAGGCAACTCTAAACACGAAATGATACCTTATGCAGATCAGATCTAGTATTGACAGGCCTCAGCAGCGGCAACTCTCGCTATCTGATCATATATACTGTCTTCTAGTATCTCAACAGGCAGTTTCCTGCAATCAATTCGTTACCAATCTATGATCTCCAACCCAGAAGCTCTACAACTTTTTTAGCGATAGTCTGTTCAAGTTTACTTGATAACTTTTATGCAAATTTCCCCAGTAATCTTGCTTCCTACGGCTTACAGATGGTTACAATCCTGAGAATGATGTATTTGCCTTTTCCTTAGCAAGAACACCAGATTCTTAATTTCCTGCAGGCGCTTGTAACCCGGTACACATTGTAAGGTCTATAATTCCATTCTACCTTCCTTTCTCAAGTTAGTTTGGACTCACAAGTAAATGACTTAGAGCTGACAATTCTGCTTGCCGGCCTGATGAATTATCGATAGCATGCAATTCTGCCTGGAAGATGGTGGCATTTACTTTCAAAGGTTTTGGTGAACTTGAATCATCACTTCGAAGTTAGACCTAACAGGCATGTCGTCTAGGAGTTTCGATATGGATTCTATTGAGATGAGAATCTCAACAGATTTCCTGCACAGATTTCCTGCTTTCGTGTAAGCTGTTTGGTGAATCATGAAAGCACTGATCACTATTTCTTTTATTACACAAAAATATAATGATCGGAACTTCAGCAGCTTTATTACCAGATTGTCAACAAACAGCGACCATATACTGTGGAAATATACTCTTTCCACAGTCATCTGAATGATCTCCTTTCCAACATTAGCTACTACAAGTTGGAGCAATAATTAAGTGAAAACTGCTCATCTAACGATCTCATTATAGATTCATGTGTCTTATCAAAAACCTCCTTTGTATCAATGAAAGTACAAGGAACTATAAAAATTCTCAATGCTTTGAAGAAGCCATTTATTGTGGATTTGTCCGCCTGATGAGTAAATGGCTTCTTGTTCCTAGTGAACCGATTTGTTGTTGACCCCTTGCTCTTCATGAGACCCTCAAGGTACAAGCTAAACTCTATATGGATCTTCTGACTTATCCAGAAACAGACAAGTTGGATTGCAGTAGGTACTGATATTATTCACTTTAAGAGATGATGTGAACAGATCAAATGTGTTGTTGAATTTTCCATACAAAAGTTTGTTAATGAGCTATATTTCACGAAGTCAGAAATGAATTCAACAAGAAATATTTGAAATAAGCTGAAGTTTAATGAATAAATCTTTGAAAAATCGTGGAGAAACGGTGATGATTCCCAAGAGCTTTGATAAAAAGTGTGATTACTCTGAGATGAAGGAAGGTATTGAGAAATTCAAGTGCGTTCTTTCTCGAGAAAAAAAGGAATTAAATAAAAAGGAAAACAACAAAAAACAAACAAGCAAGCTTGTTGTCATGTCAGTTTTGTCATGTCTTCAAAGTTTAAAATGAAGTAACCTGAATCAAACGTAGAGTAATAGATACCGAAATAAGCAATA